ATATATTTGGTAGAGAACCTTCCAGCTGACCTTATCAAAGCTCATTCTATATAAACCTAAAATAGAAAGATGATCTTCCAAGAAGCTTGTGAAAGAAGTATGAGATAGGAGACATCAAAAGTTGTCTGATATATAAGAGAGAGTGGGGAAATGGTAAGACAGTGAAAATAAACGTAGAAGGCAAGGATTTTGGCAGGTTGGAATTCAAACTGTTGTAAGGGGGTTTTTTGTTTGCTTGTTTTAAGACTATCTTATGGGATAAAAAAAAGAAAAATGTTTAAAAGTGGAGTTAAAGCAATAAGGTGGTTTGTGAAGAGCTACTCACAGGTGTAAGATCATTCTCCGATGTATGAATAACAATCAGGTGATGGAAAGGAGAAGATGATAAAGCAAGAGCTTGACACCTCAGTGTAGAATGAGTAATAATCTTTTTTATTCTTGGAGTAGTTAATAATTTTGGTATTGCTAATAAGATTGGTCCAGTTACATCATATGGTACTGATTCAGTTAAATCATATAGTGCCAGTATAGTGTCACTGCCCCTAAAAAGGTAAATTAAAACTTTAAGTGTTATGTTTGATTTCTTAAATCATGAGTCATCCACCAGTGTTGGTGGATGTATGTGCGCAGTAATAATAGCTGCAAGGACAAGACTGAAAAAACCCATACAACCATAACCACCAAATCTTATACTTTGATAATTACTGAAGCTGAATACATTGAAATATCATTTGAATTAATGACATTGTAGAGGTAAATATGGAGGTACCTGAAAGACTGGAAAGGTGCGTAATAATCGAAGAGATTTTAGCTGTTGAATAGGTTTTTTTATTACTTTCATGAAGTTATATATTCAGAATTAAGCTGGATAACTTTAGAATGAGATTGTGTGGGTTGCAGATGTATAACATGAAAACAACCAAATATGGGGCTTAGTTAGTGATTGAAGAAGTTCGTAAGATTCAGTGCTCAATTCTGCATCAGTTGGTAATTTCTTATTTTTAAATCTTAGCCTGTTCTTCTGGATAGCAGCAGCATTTTACCAGATCGCATTCTCCTCATGGACACCTTTTTCCAGATCCTTATTTATCATGGAGAGGTAATTACAATTTTGTGATTTCTTACATAAATACTCTTTTTGTATAGGAGCGCTGCATTATGAAAGTCAAGCTGCAGTTCTAACATGCTCCAGTGCTTGACCTCTCATCTGCATGGCTGATACCAGACTCCTAGTTCATGTTTGTAGTTTGGTAACCTGACATGCCTATACACAGATGCCTGACAGTACTTGATGTTTTGCTCCTGTTTGTTATGATGGGTTTAAGATGAATTAGCTTAAGTATGCAGATTATTTGGTTTAGATCAATGTTTTCCCAACTTTTAAGAGTTATTCACTTCACCATGTGTTTCACCCTCCCTTTTCAGTCATTTATTGTAGACCTCTAATGAGTCCTTCAGGGATAGGGAGTCAGAACACCCAAGTTTTGCAGTCGTCCTTCTTCTGCACTGTCCTGGAGGAATGAAACTGCGACTGGCAGTTAGGTAGATAGATATTCCCCAGTACTGGAAATACAAATGCTTGTGACTTGCTAGTGTTCTACTTCCCTGGAGGAACTGAGCTGCTGCTTTTTACTGCTTTGCAATTGTAAATAGTTCACAGCTGAGGGTTTGAAAAATGCTGTTCTGGATCATGTCCTTAAAGGTGCACTTTTTAAGATAGTTACTAAACTTTAACTTCTTAAGTAGAAAAATATTCTGTATATTTATGTAAGAGGCTGTCAGGAAGAAGCAGGGGAGGGCTGCTCCCTGAGGGAAGGGGAACAGGGAAACTGTGTATGATTACAAGGCAGGCAGAGGCTTCACTGATGAGAACCTAGTCCCAGCATACACAAGCAAGGGAAGCAGAGCAGTTTGTGGGCAGTAGCCAGGCTCAGTCACCAGTCCAGATCACCGGACAGGTTGATGGAGATGAGGCAGATCCCAGTTCAAGCTGGGGAAGTGAAGTCCCTGGCTGGGGGTCCATGTGAGTGAGCAGGGCATCCAGGTACAGGCATGGCTGCAGTGTAGCTCAGGCAGATGCCAGGAATGAGAGCCTTGGCTTAAAAGCAGCTGCCAAGCAAAGGAGGGGGGAAGCTCTGCTGAGGATCCCTCCAGGTCTTTCCTAGTAACATCCTGTACTGGTGAGCTGACCTTGAGCAACCAGCTGCACTCCTGGAAGGTTGGGAGGCTGTGCTAGAGGACCTGAAAGATAAATAGCAGTATAAACATTTATTTCTTAAGTGTCATAGACATGCATATTACAGAACCGTAAATAGTGTCCTTGACCTCATGAACTAAGTATTTAGCATATGAAAGATTATAAAAAAGGAGATAAAAATGGACCAAAAATTGTTAGAGTTTAAAAAAACCCCTAAACATCCAGTGGTGTGTTACTTGCACATCTTGGCTTTCAAAAAACAGCTTGCATACTATAGGGCAGAAAAGGGTGAATGTTAGAAAAGAGGCCAGTAGTGTTACATCGTTCTCTGAAAAGCTCTGTGTATCCTCTAAGAAAGATTGGTGAATCAGTTCTAAACTTCTTTCTTGTCCTCTGCCCAGACCATAGCTCAGTGGCGTAAATCAGGTTACCAAGATATGCCGGAATATGAAAACTTTCACCACTTGCTACAGGCTCCAATAGATGATGCCCAAGAAATTCTCCATTCCAGGTTTCCAATGCCCAGATACATTGATACAGAGCATGGAGGAAGCCAGGTAAAGTGAAATATATATTATAATCTAGGAAGTGATGTGCTAATAATGTCATGAATGTTTTTTTTTTTTTAGTAAAGATTCATTTCTGTGCTAAAATACATGTAAATTGCAAGTGAACATTTTAAAGCTTTTACAGCGCCAGATATCTCATAGTAGCTTTTTGCCTGGTTTGTGAATCCTGTTACTTATTTCCATTTTTACCATACTGCCTTGAGCTTTGAGATTCCTTGTGCAAGGTGTGTAGCACAAAAAAGGGAGTACTTGCCAGGGTCTCTTGGTGAATACCAGAGTTATTCTTTGTGTGTTGTTTTTTTGCTTTTTTTTTTTTTTTTTTTTTTTAAACTTGGTAAGTAATATCTTACTGATATTCACACTTACTTTGCTAGTGTTTAGAAAAAGACAAAAACATACTTTCTGCTGCATTGAATGAAAAGCTGTTAGCAGTTCTGCATTATAGCTATGGAAGCCAGGGAGTGGCTTTATTTATAGAGGTGCTACTCACTCTTGTGAATAGGTATGTGTGCATGCTTTTATTTCCAGGTAATAGAAATTACATATTTCATACACATGTAATTTTTTTTTCTAAGTATAGAAACCGTCTATTTGAAATAGATTAATTATTGCCTGTGGTTTGTTTTTTAAAGGCTCGTTTCCTGCTTTCAAAAGTAAATCCCTCTCAGACTCATAACAATATGTATGCGTGGGGACAGGTAAGTGTGAATCTGCTGCTGAAGCTTGTATGCATGATTTTCTTTTTCCCTATCTCAGAAATCGAGTGACCTGTCATGTACATATAAGTAGTAACGGTAAGTTTTGAAACTGAAAAAGAATCTACTTTGGTTGCCCAAAGAAGTTGTGGATGCTCCATTCCTGGAAGTGTTCAAGGCCAGGCTGGGTGGGGCATAGTGGAAGATGTCCCTGCCATTGCAGGGGGGTGGAATTAGAGGAGCTTTAGGGTCTCTTCCAAACCTAGCCATTCTGTGATTGTATGAAATGCAGTTTTGGCCTGATGTCACCAGAATTGCAAAAGTTAGGCAAAATGGATTTAATTTCTTTAGAGAAAAATTATGTAGTTGCTATTTTAAGCTTCTCTTAGACTGCTTCCTTGTCTAGCCATTTTTCTTAGACAGGTATGTTTGAATTCCTTAGAATGAGAACACTTACGACACATAAAGACTAAGGTACCTTTTTGCATTAAGGGAAACAAGTTTTAAAATTAGTTATAAGCAAGAACTGGGAAGTACACCAGTACCAGTGTGCTGATGCTTTTCAACTTTCGTGGCCCAGGTGACCAGGAATCAAATTTTTCAAATCAAAAATCAAAGTTTTTCGGATCTTGTCTTTAGGAAGGAAGTTAGGTAAGAGTTTGAAAGTTAAACCTTCTGAAGCAGTTTGTATTCTTGAATGTTGCATCCCAGTTCCATGTTCTCTTTCCACATGCAGCTTTTATAGTGGGAAGAAAAACTGCATTGGGTGAATGCTGAGGCAGTGTCATTTTCTTATGAAAATGTAATGGCATCAGATGGTTGAAGCTACATGTTAAGTATACTTGTGTTTTGCTGAAGGGCTTGCAGTGGTCAAGTGATGAGCGTGAGTGCTCTGTAGTAATTTTATGGCAGTGATGTTTATCAGGTGAGTGTCATCAGGGCACTTTTTCACAGGGAACTGTTGGTTCTAACGAAGCCTCTGGCAGTGAAGAGCACCAAGATCCAGGGTGAAAATACTTGAAAACTTTGTACGGAGTCAGGGACAGCTCTCTTGCCTCTGAAATCAATTACCTAACCAGCAGTCTGTTAGTGTTGCTCTTCATTGTGTTTCCTACACAACATACACACAAATCCTGTAGTTTGAAAGGTCTTGTTTTTATCTAGATGTTACCTGGAAATTTTTGAAGTTTGGTATTTCCAGCAGTACAGGACAGCTGTTTCCTGCTCATTTAATTAGTAAGCAAATGAAACGGTATTCCAAATGTAAATGCAAATACAAAACAATGCTTGAACTGATCTCTAAGAAAATTTTTCATGCTGGACAAGTGAGACTCTTTGATACATATTAGAAAAGATGGGTTTCCCTTTTAGTGTTGAAAATAAGCCAGTTCTAGAGTAATGTAAAAAATGATCTGTTAATCTCTTTAGTGGCATTGCAGTGTATGTGATCAACTTAATACCCTCCTGTGTTCGCAGGGTGTTCAGTGAACAAAGTTGAACCAAGTGCATATTACGAAATGAGAAACGTAACTGCTGGAAGAAAATTCTGTCTGAATTGGTTTTGTTTTTGTTTTTCTCATGAGCTTCCTGGATTTTTACATGTAGTTTTATTTTGTGCATGGCTCAAAGTCGGTAGAAAACTCTGCTAGTCCACATTGACCTGAAGAGGGCACCCACACATCACTGAAACCATGTTTCAGGAGGTGGTGAACTGTCTAGTTTGGTTTTTAATATTGTAAGTAAAGACTTTTTTAAACTTCAGCAAGTAGCTGCATTATATAGTATAGAAAACCTTTTCAGAAAATAATGGTAAACTTTTCATACGGCTGTATTATGTTGATTAGTCGTTGAAGATGTGGTTGAAATTTTCAGGTTATATTGGATATAACATTTATTTGAGAATGCCTTTACTTTCAGCTTTTTTTTAAAATCTTTTTTGTTTTGGTATACATGTTTTGTATTGGGAATTTGCAGTTTGAAATGAAAGAAATACTCAATGGCACAAATCTTATAAAATGCCCGGTAGCTGTCATCAGATCACTGTTAGTTAAATTTAAATTCTCGCTGTATATCTTGGATCAAAATTTTGAATGAACAGAAAACAAAATTTAACGTGATCTGTGAAAAATTGAAGCTAATTCTCATGTACTTCTAAGGCTTCTGCATTGTGACCTTGCTGGTTTTCACTTTATTCCTCAGCAGATAAAATACTGTGCTCCCTTACTGGCTATAATGAAGGGTTCCCAGTCTTCAGAGTAAAGCTACTACTGTTGGTGGTAGCCAGGGTGACAGCAGTTGCCTGTGTGCAGGTGTTGGATGAGGTGTTCAGGAATAAGAGTCTGTGCATTGGTTTTAATTACCCTGGATTACCACTAGCAGCCATTGTGAGGGATCTCTTTTCTTAGGGGTCTATCAGCTCCTTTGGTGGTTTATTTACTAGAGGATGATGTACTGTCCTTCCATGACTAAGACACAAGGTGATAAATCGTATCCTGCTGCAGAATTCAACTACTTGTAATTCCCTTGTGGCTTCTTGGAGAGCTCAGGCTTAGCATTTGGCAGGCTTGGAAGTAGAACATCCTTTATTCTTATTTGCCACCATCAGCTAGCAGATGATATAGGGGGCCTTACCTGAGAGTGGCTGTGTATTGTGTCAAGTGTATTGTAGTGATCAAAGAACTCTTACTGCTCCTGGGTTTGCCCCTTGATCATTAACTGGGAATTGGTTTTGTCCAGTTCTCAAAAAGGGGCACCAATTGTTAAGACTTTCATGTCTGTGTTTTCAGAAGATTTCATGTTTGTGTTTTCAGAGGAGTTCAGAGAGTTCTGATGTAATTTGGAAATATGGGTGCTTAGTACCTTTGAAAAGGTTGAATTGTTGAGATTTCTAGGAATTCTTTATGCATCTGTAAATGGAAGTAATGGCAGATTGGTTTCAAATGATGTAAAGAGAATTGCTATGTAGCATTTGCAGAGTTGCCAACTGCTGTTTTATTTAGACTTCAAATTTGTTTAAAAATAGTCATTAAAAGATGACCATTTTGAACTTAGTAGGACTTCTGAAAATTACTTCTGAGGTCAAAAAGTAAATTGCAAAAATCCACCCAAAAAGTGCTGTGGGTTTTTTTGTTGTTGTTGTTTGCTTGTTTGTTTGTTTTTAATCTTTTGCTATCTGATCTTATAGTGGCATGACCTTCAGATGTTGTTCCTGGTGTTTCTCTGAGGTGGTGCAGAGCTTAAGGAGAGATCTGGCCCAGCTTTCCTTGAGAGAGCTTGTTGACCTTCTTCACTCAATGTCAAATCAGACCCTTGTTTCCTCCTTTTGTCATTTTGATATCTCTGAGCTTCATTGACTGGCAGATACCGATTTGTTAGTTGTCACTTGCATGTTTCTGTTTTTCTCACCTTTGTCATCTCCTCAGAGGTAGGAACGATACAGGAACTGTGGCACTGTGGAAGTTTTATTTACTTCTAAAAATTTGTAAGTTACTATTTGGCAGCTGTCAAAACCTTGGAGTTCTGTGTGGTTGATGTAAATTTCTTGCTATACTGCAGCTCATTGCCATATGCATTAATATGGAAGAGAGTTTTGTGGCTTATGCCTGAATTTATGTAAACATATGAAAATTTATGTAAACGTACAGTCTACTGATTTTGTCAGAGGATTTCGGCAAAGATATGCTTCAGAGGTCTTTCTAAATTTATAGTGTTTACTTACTGGAACCTCTTGTGCCTTAAAATGCTTTTTCTTCACAATGAGTATAATCAATTCCCCTTGTTTCCTTTTATTTTGTAGGAGTCTGGAGCGCCCATTCTCACTGATGATGTCAGCTTGCAAGTGTTTATGGATCATCTGAAGAAACTTGCTGTTTCTAGTGCTGCCTGAGATTCTGCAGTGCATTAAAGGCACAGATAAGCTGTAGCCATATTTCAGATTTTTCTCCTTTACCCTTTTCTATGTCTCTCCTGACAGAGTGCTCTGATATGCACAAGCTGCCTGACTAGATGTAAAGCAGTGTTGTTTTCAAACAAGAGCTTTCATTATTAGCAAATGTTTTAATGTGAACTGCAGTTTGTAAAAATGACAGGTAGTAGATTAAGTTAAAATTAGAGGAAAAAGAACAGTCATTTTGATTACTGTGATACTATAATTACTTTGAGATCATTTATAGCAACTTTGAGATGTGATTTTAGTTTCCTTTTTGAATGGTTGAGGTTGATTCTGCTCTGCACTACAAAGGCACATTGAACAATAAAGGAAATCTTTGGCAATGTCAGGCTTTCCAGATTGCCATATGACTACATTTCCTCACTCAATTTGAGCACAAAGAGAACAAAGAAGCAACAAAAAGCATGTAAAAATAGTATTAACTCAGTCTCTTGACTTAGGCTGCCGAACTTTTCTTTCCTGCAGAGGTATTACTGTATTTAATTTCAAATATGTCTTCCCACTTACCCTACTTGATTCTTTGGGAACAGAGTTTTTATTTCCACATAAAGAATTTGAACTGAAAAAGTAAAAAAGTATGTTATTGCACAAAATTTAAATCCACATGTATTTTTGTCAAAATATCTATTGTCAAACACAGTAACAGGTGAATATGCTCAAAAGTTCACACTTCTAACTTGAGCTAAGAAGAAATCCTGCACTACCAAAATGAAGTAAGAGTACAGCCGTGATTTTTGTCTTGGCGAGTATACTTTTAAAAAATACGTATATTTACCTTTTTTGTTTACTGCCTTATAATGTTATTACACTAATGCATGACACTGCACATCTGCTTTCTGTTTCTGCATCCTTTTTGTTACTAATTCAACAGACTGTGGTTCTTGTTACAGTATTATATAGACTATGATGTAATTAATTTGATATTTAGTTCATACTTGATTTTTTTGGGGGTGGATAAAATAGGCTTTCCCAACTACTTGTTGAAGTTTACACATAAAACAGATGTTTACATAGGTGATACAACATTTTGACAAGTAAAGATTTGAAATGTGGTAGTGGGCAATAAAAAGTTGTGCCAAGTCTGAAGGAATAGAGAGTTTTGACATAGGAAATTTGAACATATACTGGTAGTATAGGCATGAGAGTTTTTTTTTCTGTAAATTCTCAAAAACTTGATTAAAATCAATTGCTCTCCATTTCTTTGATCTAATGAGCTCCTTTTGCCTCAATGCAAATAAAATATATGTTTCTCTCTCACTTTCTGTATTGTGCTGGTTTCTGTTGGTGCTTGAAATGAAATGTGGAAATAAAGTAGTAATGATAAAATTTAGAATAACTTCACCACTTTTATTCATGTAGTAATTGGCATCAAACTTCTTTAACTTCTAGAGGTACTGAACTGTTCACACTAGTGGAGGTTTTGGAGGTAAAAATTCAGCAGCCCTCTTCACTTGTTTTGTTTAACTGATAAACAGCTTAAAAACATTTTCTCGTAACAATAAATATTTCCCATTTATTTAATGGTTAAATACCATTTGACTAATAAATTAATTCATTGCCAAGTAATGATAATGGATGGGGTTTTTTGTGCTTTATTTCATACCCTGTAACCAGCTTTCACCTTGTTAATAGGCTCTTATATCCAGCCTCTTGGCAACATTAGCTTCTTTTGTAACTTCAAGTATTGTCAAATACTGTCAAACACTGTCAAAAACTTCCTGAAAATCCAAGTATGTCTGATGTGTTACCTTTATCCTCCTGCTTATTCACCCATTCCAAAGACTGTGTGGATAGTAAGACAGGTTTTTCCACTCTAG